CACTGTATCAACTAGCCCCGGTCTCCCCTAATATAGTTAAAGAATTTGGTGACTTACCCGTTATTGATAGATAGGATATCTGCTTGAGATGAGCTTGTCGATCGATTCTGGTGTAATTCCCCGGACATTAAGGTGCTGGTGGGCTGCTTGGGTGACGATATTCAGGAAGGTAGCCCTGTCGAATTCTGGGTTAGCAGCGGCGAATATGATGTCGACTATGAAAGCGACGAGGCTGGCAGGGCGAAGTTCTTGCCGATTCGAAGTGGATGGTTCCTGTTGTTTTGCTGGTTGAATTTGGCGCTTGGTGACTGAAGCGAAGGTGTTGGAGGACTGTGGTTTAGGCTGGCACTGGCGTTGAATTGAGGGCGTTGGATTGCTTTTAGTTTTTCAAAAGTAATGTCACCACTTACGCAGTTTTGTTTACATGAACAAACAGAAAATAACTGTTTTCTACCAATTCTAGTTCGCAAGATGTGTCTTTTTACCAAATTACATTGAGGTGCCTGTATTTTTTATTCTAACTAATAAAATGGTACGTAATCAGTGACTGCTAGGACAGGCTCGTGAAAGTTACAGAAAGCTGTTTTCAAAATGTCGTGTAACTGTTCATGTCTTGTTTATATCTAGTAATTTTAGTAAGATATTAACACTCACGTTTCCAAAACGTTTAGCCCTTACAAATGCGTCAGACGTTGGATTTAGGAATAAATTATACAATAAAATACTTCACAATTTTTAGCTTGTGTTTCATAACACTTATATGTATTCTATTCTACACGCAGAAGAGCATTTTATAAGAGAAAGAATTATTAATTAAGCCAACGCATTGCATAGTAAAAGATAACACTAAACACAACAATACAGTAATTCAAGTATTAGCTAATATTCATCTTGAATTACATTATATATTTACATAATAAACAGAATTGTGACTCGAGTGTTTTGGTGTAGTAGTAGTTAATCGTCAAGGAAAAAAACAAAAACAAAATAGTAGAATACCAGAAGGAAAACAGTTGTTGTCCTATCAAAATGGTCAAATTGGCGTCGATACTCAAAATAACTAGTGATAAGGTTAATTGATTTATGCAAATTTTTACTTCCTGATGAATCAGCCATCGCATATTTTGCGTAACTTTACAGGTCGGATCAATTGGGTACATAAATCTATTCTAGTGGGCTCGGCATTGCCAGGTGGTTAGAGCGCTCGACTCACAATCAGCGGGTTCGAATCCCCGTCACACAAAACATGCTCGCCCTTTCAGCCGTAGGGGCGTTATTATGTGACGGTCAATTCTACTATTCGTTGGTAAAAGAGTAGTCCAAGAGTTGGCAGTGGGTGGTGATGACTAGCTGCCTTCCCTCTAGTCTTACACTACTAAATTAGGAACGGCTAGCGCAGATAGCCCTCGTGTAGCTTTGCAAGAAATTCAAAACCAACCAACCATTCTAGTGCATCAAGCATAGTGACATTACTAACAACACGCATTGACAGTAACAATAATTAAACAGGAAGGTTCATACTTTAGTACAATTTTAGCGAACTTAAAAAAAATATAGCAATATTTGATTATATAATGCCCCCTTTTAAAGTTTACTAATACCAAACAAAATATTCAAACACGTTCACTTCATCAAGACTTACTATTAGTACTAAATCTTCATTGTGGTAGTCATGTTTACTAAGTGGTCATCTCCTCCTCTGTCCTAGAGCTTTATAAATTTACTGTTACCAAATTTATTTAAGAGTTCATTAATAGCTATGCAAGTTCATTAAGGCAAGTGGATTTTGTTACTAAGAGAAGAAATATGTTTATGTAAAAAGAAAATAATAGTGTATTGATGGAATATTGCATCGACGAGGTGGCCGAGTGGTTAAGGCGATGGACTGCTAATCCATTGGGCTCTGCCCGCGTGGGTTCGAATCCCATCTTCGTCGTTTACTTCTCATGACTGTAGGCGTTTGATTTTTTTTTATGATAATACACGTCATAACTATAATACAATTGAAACTTCATATTCTAATGCTTCACTCTCATTTGGTGTCTTTTATTCGTTTTCACTTGTTTCGCTAAACCTAATTTCGAATTTGGTGGTAACTCCAATAATGTACGATATAATGCCTTTGGATTAATCTTTTTTTCTCTCTCTCTCTCTCAGAGAGGTTCTTTTTTATTATTCGAAAGCTGTGATACTGAAGACCACTGTTCGAGTACTTGCATGTTTTATGTTCCTACGTGACCTATATAGAGTGCGTTTGATTGGAATGTTTTCACATCGAATAGTCTGTTATGTTGAACGAAGTTTTCGATACCAGGAGAAAATATTTCTTCACAACACCTCATTATAAATGACGTTTCATTTGTTATTACTTTCATACGAACTTCTTAAACAAGCAAATAATGCGATGGGTCGTTATTACCCACGAACTACAACCTCGAACTCTCATTCTCGTTTCTATGGTATTTTTGGTTATGTATTTAAATGATTTGCACACTACCATAAAATAACGTTTTTGAATTTTCAAAATACATTTTAATTATATGAAAGTACACGGTCAAGAAGCAATTACAATGGAAATGTTTTGGTCTCTCAATTGGCTGTACCATTTTCAACTATTTCAATTTTCGTCTAGCGTGATTTGCTGACTTAAAATATGTCAAAATGTTCCATTTCCTTTTATAGTACAAGATCAAACTCACGATACGACTTTATAACTTAATCTCTCATTTAAATCCTCTTATGGTATATGAAAATATATATATATATATAATATATATTATATGCTAACAAACTATATTTATATGCTGTTTCACCTACGATACCGTGTGTAATTAATTTGGATTCCTCTCCTACAAAGCTTAAGGATCATTAGCCTAATAAGTAAAATCAGTCAACTCTCCACCAATTACAAACAGAACTCCCCTACATTTTTTAGAAGTTTAACAATACACATCATACATTAAGACACAAAGGGTGATACTTCTTTTCAACTGTAGTTATTGTGTATGAATTATATTTTGGGTTAAGGCTGAAATACGACTCAGAAATCCTGTGATCCAAAGGACAACTTTTTTCACAATTCGTACAAAACCTTTATTTTTGTTTGTTTGTTTATAATTGGATTAAACATTTTCGTGTTACTTTAATTAAACGTATTATTCACAAAACCATCCAGATAACCCACAGAGCCGGTAACCCAAACCTTCTTGGAAAGTCTTTCTTCCAAGTGTTCGTTTTAACTAGTTTCTTGTTTTGGATTTGGTTTATCCTATGCATTGACTTAATGCCGTGAATGGGAAGTCAATACCGCGTAACTATATTTTATAATAACACATAGAATACGACCAATAATGGGAAATGACAAGTTTAATAAGGTTTAATAGTTTACAAAATCTTGCTTTCACATGTACATATGTGAATTAGGGCATGAGGCTGTTACACAAAAAATAATAAATGATGAATACAAAGTGCAACATCCAGGCTCATTAGTGACTCATATTCAAAAGTTGTTTTTATCTAAAAGAAAGTTATTCCCACGGCAGTGCTATAGTATCTACTTATTGTTTACATTGTTTTCATGACACTACTTTAATCACGTTGTCAACAGTCTAACTTTAGAATGTGCCAAACAGCATTTTGTTCAAAGCTTGACACAACGAAGTTATCTTGTTCAAGATGAAACAATGGGAGGGAATAACGGTTTTCTTTTTTTCATACGGTGTCCCTTATGCAAAACTTCGATTCGTACTTTTTCTACTATTTTCATTTCACATTCACGGAAATCTTTTGATATTTTTTCTTACCGATATATTTGTTATGAGTAAACACTGCATAATACTTTTATCTGGCATAATACAGCAAGCAATACAGTTATCAGATTTCATCAGCAGAACTGCATAAAAAAAAAAAAGGCGGTGACATCCATTACGAACTTTTACATTTCCCTAAGAGGTTTTGTAACTTGATGTCACTGGTAAACAAATATGCTTGTTTCTTTTAAATATATACATTTTTTACTAATCACTTTAACAAGATAGAAAGAATTCATAAGAACAAACGCGAAGATGGTGACATCCGTCGATCAAATATAAGTTACTTTTTACTACTGAGGCATAATTATGTTTACAAAAATTACCTCAAGTAAAGGATATTTAAATATTCAGTTAATATTAATCGTCATTCTTCTTTTTATCAGCTGTAAAGACAACCACTGGTTTTCAAACTAGAATCAAACAGAGTTTACTGCCTATTTATTATTTGTATAACAACATATATAAAAAAAAACATTTATTTGAGACCATCATTAAAAACACTGATTCAACACAGTTCATTTAATTGATCAAAAAATACCACTGTTAGTACAAATACTTCTATATAACAATGCACTTTCCACACTACAGTTTAACACCGTTACCCAAGGAAATACAATAACGCAGTGGTCCCTTAAAACTTTATAAACTATAACTAGCACACTGCTTAAAGCTTTTAGTTGGAATCTCCTTTTTTTTCTGTAATACGTTTTCGTTATTTCAGCAATAGCATGAAAACTGATATCACAATTTTATACTTTAGCCAACTAAGAACAATTATATACACAAGCTGATTCTTACTGTAAACACCGGTATATCTTCAAATGTCTATATATTTTATTATTAAACAAGTCTCATTCCTATCTTGCCCACACTTAATTGTACTCTGGTTAAATTTATATCAGAGATATTTTAAAATTAAAGCTTATAGAAAACGTTTCCTATTCTATATCAAACTAAATATGAAATTTAACAATTGGAAACATCGTTTAACACAATTTCTGTCTGTCCTTATGAAGCACAAGCTGTCAAATGATACTGCTGAGTTATGTGTGAAATAACGCAAACTGCTTGTTGAACTCCAGTAGTTATAAAATTGTATGTAATGAGACCGTATCACAAAAACTAGAAATGTTTTACAAATGCCATGGTACTTCAGTCATCCAGACAGATAAATATGAGTGATTTGGGGGGTGTTGTTGACCATCAAGTTACAAAACCAGTCTTTTATTCTTATTTTGAATAGGTATTATAGCACGTCTGTACTTATAGTGAAAAAGGAAGATGTACCCAAAACAAATATTGAATTGTAACTAGCAATACCATTGATTTAAAGTCAACAAGTGGGTTAACCTGCAAAGCAGTAGTACTTATACCTCATTAGTTAAATTAAGCACACTTTTCTTTGAACTTTACAAAATATAGTAAATAGATCAAGACCATTTTACTTTCAAGTGACACATTTTAACATGTTAGTTAGATTGCTTAAAATATTGGATCAAATATAAAATGCTAGATAGTTAGGGTGTACAGATTAAAAAGCTTCTACTATTTAGTTAAATTTGCTTCCCAAAACTGGGGTGCATTCATTATCTTTTATCTCCAGCAAAGAATTTTGAAAATAATTTTTTCTCATATGGCGAAGTGAAAAATTTTTTCGGTGTGTGTACAATCTTTAGTTTCTAAAATGATACTCTTCAAAACGCTTACTTTTTGAAAATAACCAAAGAAGTAATTCTGGATCTCTCTCCCTAATTAATTGCTTACAGCAAAAATTAAACAAAAATAACCTGTTTTTTGTGAACTAACTATAAAATACAATTTCAGCAAGAGATTGGATTAAATATAAATACTTGCTATTTTAAAGAGGAGAATAATTAGGCATGTACTTCTAAAGTGAAATCACAAATGAGCCTTTAACACTGCATTATGAGCTCTAAACACTTTCTTAATAATAAAATGAATAAAAATCATCCAAACAATCCTTTTAATCCACTGTTGCAAATATCCATCTTGTGGTAAAGTCTCAATACTCTTGATATCATGACATGTTATGTTTCATAACAAACAAACATAAAAAATACTTTAAAAAAGTAGCTGCATATAAGTAGACTTCTCAAAATCATTTATTATGTCATAATCAATTATTCAAATTAACTTTCATTGGTGTTTTTCATTTTTATCTTCATATGGTCAAATTGTTTTTTTCTCCTCTCTCTCATGCCTACATTGAACTGATCTGTATCATTGACCATACTGAACAAATCTTTTCAGAGATATTTTCCTTCATGTTTCTCTCTCTTTTTCTTCTACTTAATTACAGGTCAAAGGCTAATTCTCAAAGTACATATTTCTTCATGATACTCTAATTCATGTTTCCCTTTTCCTTCCTCTGCTGATACCACTGATTATAACAAGTTACTTAACTGTATTCTTGCCAGAACCCCAAACTGTCTACTTAAATACAGGTCTAGAGACTATTCTTGAAGTTGGTAAAAAGCCTCAGCCCAGCAAAAGATGTATGATGATCATTCACTATTACAACCCTTCGCTTCCAAGTGATACTGTATGTTCAGTACCATTCAAGTATACACTGCTCTAATAACCCTGAAGTTAAAAAATAAAACACTATATACAACTGTGTCATTCACCAACAACACAGATACATTTTTACACATTCTGCAAAGTTTTTACACCATCCAAGGGTTAATTCAAAAACAATAAAAATTGTCATGCCTTTATCTGTGCAAATATTTTTGGTCTTAGGATATTTTTAATTGACCGTTGTATTTCAAACTTATATATATTACATATATATATATACAATGATTTTCAAGATGTTTTCCCAAATTTTGTCCCTGACATTGACTTTCTTCTCTGGTATTTGAACTTCTTCACATATCCCTCCACTAAAGCTTTGATTTTGACAGGGTTGATTTCTCCCGATTTATTATGACATATCTGAAATTTAAAGTAATTTCAGTTTACACATGGTCAATCAAATACACATGTAGTATACTTTTCACCTGGAAAAAAGTTTTGTTAAAATGTAATATTACAAAAGCTATATACGTCTGAACTTAAAATAGACACAACTTTAAAGCCGTTCCAAGGCCTACAAAGTCAAATGTACACATTTTCCAAATACCAGTATCACCTATAGTGATCTCCTATTACTATATTATCAACATCACTAATATGAATACAGGATTAAATAACTTCAAGTCCACTGAAACCCCAGCAATTCAGTTAATATGAGATTAGAAAGTTCTAACTTTTAAGACAACTCTAATAATCCTCATCACTAGTTTTTTATTAACAGTGTGTAATTTTATTCAGTCATTATATTTACACATACAATTATAAAAAGAAGCACAAAAAGGTTACATGTAGCTTTAAACCATCATCAGCTCACATTACTAAAAAGTTTCATAAATGTTCAAAGTATGTTCCCTTTTAACTTTCACTGTTAGCTTCCCTACTCAGAGTTATTAAACATTTGTAATACAAGTTTGAACAGTTCATAAGGTATGCTTGCTTATATCTTCTAGAGATGTAATCATTTCTTTAGTCACAATTTTAAAGGGAAATGACCATTTTTCATGTATAGCATGCACAGGACACCACTTGCAAAAATAAAACATTGCTTGCTTTTCTAAATAAAAACAATTGCAAATATAGAAAGTTCTTCACTATTTCTTATCTACAGTACAGTCAGATGCTTTGACTAACAATAAATGATAAAACAATTAAAATTTGTGACAAGAAGTTTACAACAAAACATATCACTTTTAGACAGTTTTCTCTGAAGAAATAAAAAATATCCCCCTTTTTTGCAACATAATTGGTGGCTTTACAACTAATGAATAGATGCTACTATTTTTCACTCATGTAAAGCAGCCAATACTATATGTAGTGTGTTGCAACTGTATCCATTGTGATACAAATACTCTGATACACACACAGATGAAAGTGTACAATGATCATTTTGATTGAAACAAATCTATTGGCCAGCTGCTTAGGCCCCCAAAAGCTCTATGTTTATACATGTTCTGAGATGTACTATGAGACATTTTGGACAATTTCCTGTTTCAAATTTAAACATGAATATGTAAAAAAATAAAATAAAAGATCACTTACAGCTTGTCATGTTATCAGTGAACCAGCCTGATAATCACACAAGGCTTAAAGATCACTTATAACTTGTCACGTTACCAGTGGAATAGCCTGATAGCCACACAAGGCTTATTAAATATTTTAAATGTTAATATTAACATCTTTAACATGTATCTCCAATTATTTTTTAAAACCTCAGTTGCATATAAACCATATCACTGAATTAAACCAATTATGACCCTTTCTTTGTACAAATGAAAATCGTTGGAAGTTTAGACCCATAAATATTAGAATGGTGGTGGTAATAAAATGAAAAAAAATGTGTTTATCTTGCACTAAATTTAAATTATGCTTTTTAATCATACCTAGAAATGGTCAAACTACACAATCAAACAGCCAATTGTTTATTAAAATTAATGATTCTAATAAATGTGACAAATCACCAGAAGAAATATTTTTAATCTCAACATTTTATTATCAATGGGTAGTTATAAAATGAAAGAACAGATAGATAGATAGATATTTATATATATATATATATATGTGTGTGTGTGTGTGTGTGTGTGTGTGTGTGTGAAATAACAACTGAAGGTAACAATAATGTAATAATAAAATATTTAACATCCCAATTCATGTAAATAAAATGTAAAATCAATAACCTCAACCAAAGAGGGAAAGTTTAAAATCTAAACCAATACATGTACAGAAAAATGCCATGTACATAAACATGAGAAACAGAAAATACTAGTACTGTTTATGCAAATTACATAATCAGAACTAAAAGTGATTTTACTTATGAATAACTAAAAATAGAATTAGCAAGCAAATTCATTTCTTAGAAAAAATTATATTCTTTATACAGTTTGTAAATTAATGACTGATAACTTTTATCTGTTTTATTATTTAAATCCATTCTTCCATTTTCAGTGTCATTTGTAATTTAGATATTTGTGTACTTGGAAATCAACACTTGATGGTGGAAGCATTGTGAAAAAACCAAATAGATTACATGTGAGTTAAAGAACAAATTTCCGATTTTTTATTATAACAGTCAAAACTTATCCAGTTATCCCTAATTTGATGATAGACTAGAGGGAAGGCAGCTAGTCAACAATATCCAATGTCAACTACTTGAGCTACTCTTTACCAACAAATAGTAGGATTAACTGTCACATCATAATGCTCCCACAACTTAAAAGGTGAGCATGCTCAGACATAGGATTAGAGTCTTTGGTCCTCAGATTGTGAGTCAAGAGTTCTAATGACTAGGCCATGCCAGACCAAACTTTTGCACAGAAAAATGGAACTTTGTGATAGAGATTAAAACTCAAGTTGAAATAGTAATAAAACAAAATTACAGACAAGGATAAGTAGAACCAGTAGGTAGTTCAAAGAGCTGAAGGGGTAAACACAAATAAATCCTGAATTAAGGATGAGATTCTAAAAAAATGGATGAAAGAAAAGACAATTTATAAGAGGGGAGAGAAATATAGGAAAATAAGTAAGAAACTCAAGCATTTGTGTACCCAAGCAAATTTGAGTATTTGAAAAAGATGTGCTGGAAAGTGATGAATTTGAGGCAATACTTAACATATGTGAATTTTAAAAGAAGAATTAAAACTTGGTAGCAAACCTACCCTCTCTTCCAGCAATGTCATCAAAAGAAATAATGACCAGATACATTTGTACATAGAGCAATGTTAACCCTATTAATACAAGCTGGGTGAGATCCACCCAGCTCATAACTGCAAAAGTATCCATGAGAGTAATTATACTATAATTTTTGATAATGTATGCACATCTTTACAAAATTTGACAGGTTATTGGTATACATTACAAGGCTTTCATACACAAAATATCAGGTTTTTAAATTAAGTATTAAGATTTTTTTTATTACAGATTTGCTTGTGCATTTTTTCTTTAAGAATGTTGACTATCCAACGTGCAAAGGTAATCATAAAAGTTTTTTGAATAAAACTTTATATTTAATCTGTTATTTTATCAATGCTAACTCCATATGGTGTTGGTCAATTTGACTCACTTCATTACCATCACAAAAATTAAAAAATAAATTTAAATTACCTTCTTTTTTGTTTTAGAATAACTGCATATTGTAACAGGAAATCATAAGGTTTAATCTAAATATAAATAGAATCACAACCTATATCTCCTGAATGTAACTTTATTAGCTCAACATTTCACTATTACAGCTATGTCAGGAGCTATTGATATCCTACAAGTTCCCTAATCCAGTTAAATCTAAATTGCAAGTGTAAATTTTATAAATGAGTGATTGGATATTCAAGAACTCATGGAAACTAAAAAGAGACTATAAATTAGTGTTCCACACTCCAAATAAGGCATCTATGAATCTGTACCAGATTAATGGGCCAATATTCCCTCCAGTTTTCCAAGAACTAAGTGTTTTAAGTTCAAGTATATGCATAAATATCACAGCTAATACTACTGCTACCCTATTATCCATAGTTATTCCTCTGATTTGTTTATAAAATTCCCCGTTAACTGAGTTCTTGTCTTCTCAAATGATGAAGTGGTGGATGGAGCCAATATATCTCAGCAAACAGAAAAGGTAAGAGGTTCTTATTTTATATTCTAGCTTGCCAATATTGGAAATTTGAGTTTATAGCTTGTATGAAACTATAGATGTTGTATTGTGGACATCATAAAATGTAATCTGACCAAATCCAGAAGATGATGTACCAGTGTGGCACACAA